TGAAAATGGAATAGCACATACTGTATAGCGCGCGATAAGGAGAAAATGATAAAGCGTCCAAACAAACCCTTCATTAGTTTAGTGAATAGAAAACCGCCACCAAATAAAAAGTTTCGTCTGTGTCATGTTTAATCATTTTTATTAAGTCTCTCGCTTTCTTGTTTTAATGAGTAATCAAGAAAATTAAATTTTATTGTGATACTCTTTAAGTAGTTAATCGAGGAATCCTAAAAACTTGTTTGAGATGAAACATTGACACATGCATGAACCGCTTTGTTTCTGGATATGAAATATTTATCCTTGGGATTTTTTTGTTATTGATTGAAACGACATTAAATGGGTAATTATGATGGTTTTTTTTCGCATAAACTTAGTCCAAAGGAATCCCGAGGGCGGGGGAATATGAAACACCGAAAAAACGTATCGGTACAGATATTAAAAATAAAAAAGCCATAATAAATTCGTCTAGAATCAATTCAGGTTAGAATAAACTTAGACTAGAATAAATTTAGACTAGAATAGATTCAGACTAGAATAAATTCAGGCTACAATAATCCCCAAAATAATTATTGAATTTTATACAGGAATTGTGAGTCATAAATACGTAAAAACATTACTGAATACCGGACACACCACCACCAATAAAATATTCTCACGCATCCATCAAAAAACCGATGACGAGATTATTAAATCTCCGACCATCTAATGGGAATAAATAGTTAGTTCGAAAAAAGGGAGGTGATGAGATTTTTTAAAATCATTATATGACATTTTTGCCCATTGTGCAACAAGTCGGCGTCAATGAGAGGAGAAAGCAACAACATCATAAATCGCCTAAAAAGCGGGCGAGTGAATAATGGGAATAGGATTAACAGGCTACATAAACAGGATCCCCAAAAAAATCAAAACCGGTTTGCCAACAAGTATTTTTTAATTCTCTAGAACATCCGTGTAGTTAGTGAGAAAAATCAAGGCGGCAATTAGGCATAATACTATTTATTGCTTTTGACTTTTTGAGAATAGTAAAGTGCTTAGTTAATAAAATTCGAACACGAAAAGAATTATCGTTATACATTCCAAGAGTTTCGGTGATATTGCACCATGTATGAACAATTTTGCTAAATATGTTGTCAATTTGAAAAGAAGTGATTCAACACTCTTAGTGATTAGATAATTAAGGAAACCTATATCCCTGTGTATCATTCGATATTTTAATTATAAAAATCGGGAATTGTTGTTAATAAAGTCGGGGCAATCACTCTATCTTGTATTATTAATTTATTGTTATTGTTTCACACTCACACACAGACAAACACACACAGAAAAGTAATTAAAAGCAAAAGAAAGCATAATAAAAACAACAACAACAACAACAACAACAACAATTATAATAATAGCAATAATGTAATAATAATAATAATATAGGGATCATTTATTATTGATTCAATGAATGTGTATGTGGTGGTGGTGACTAAGTGTGTGAAATAAGGAAAAAAAATTAGTGCCTAGCCGAAGAATGATAGACGACTTGCACAGGCATAACCAGAGAGTAAAGAAGAATACCAATTAATTTTATTAACTGGACTGATAAACAGCGGCAGATTGTTACCCAATTACTTTTATTTTGCACACTTTTACTACGCACACTCTCTCTTATACTTTGCCATTCACGGAAAAGTGATCTAATAATAAAGCAGTCTGTCCTGTTCCTTTCTATCCGTAGTACGTATTCATGGTAGTGAGTAGTAGTTCGTTGTCGCCGTCGTTTTTCTTTCCTTACATTGCATCATCGATCACCTCATCAATCAAATAAATAAATTGGTAGTTTAAATAAATAAAATATATAGCTTAAATTATTGATTATCGTTATTATAGTCACTATATAAATAAGCATTATATACACCATAGAAGAATAAATACAAAGTATTGCCCCTTTGAAAAAAATATTCTTTAACCTATTTATTTTTTTGTATCACCTCAAAAAAAACTTATATTTACCCACCGAAAATCTGTATCAGTCAACATTTTTTTTTGTTATTCGAAAATTGTTATACTACATTCTATTATTGGTATTTATATCGTGTTCGAGAGACACCATCCATCGCCTCCTGATAAAAAAAAACACGAATTTTAATTTCATTATATCAACCTTCAGCATCTACTAACAATAATTAAAACAAAAAAAAAGAATGGACTTGGATTGGTGTCTCACTTGCTCTCAGCATACTTCGGTAAGCTTTAAACAATCATATTGAATTTTTTTCTTGTCTTTTTTTTCTATAATTTTAATTAATTTTTGTGTTTTCGTTTTATAGGGTACTTTGTATTGTTCAGAAGCATGTCGTCTACAAGATACCAATGGCGTTGCTATAGCATCATCATCATCAACTTCAAAATCCTTATCCTCAACTACTAGCTCTTATTACTCCTCTTCACCTACTTCACCATTCTCGTCTCAATTCTTCGCCTCCAAGCGAATGCACCAAAAATTTTTCCCATATAATTATCAACCGACAACGTCGAATAACATAACCATTAACCACCACCACCAACAACAACAGCAGCAGCAACAGCAGCAACAGCTCCAGCTTCATTATTCTTCCAAAAAATATCAAAGAAATTATCATTTGACGACAGCAAAGTCCGCAACTTCCGCATCACAATCATCAACAAATAGATTTCGAAAGAATGAATGCGAAAGCCATCAACCTCATCATCATCTTGTTTATCATCACCATCATCCACATCGATATCATCCTGTGCAAAGGTTGCCGGTAATGATATAAAAAAATAAGAGAGACACTGGCGTTCCGGCAAACGCGCTGTCAATATCATGTGTCCAAGTAAAAAAAAAAATTATCATATTTATCATAGACACTTTATCCTACAAATACACAAACACACATCGTTATGTTTTATATTTTTATAAATATATTTATATACATATACTATATGCATACAATATATTCCAAAACTTTTTTTCGTACGATTACGCGAACCGATTTATTGTTTAGGCTTCGCGTCAATCTAAAAATCTTTTTAAAACATTTCCCTATAAACGCCCGCATTATACGCATATACAAACATCATCATATTTCCCCCACTTTCAACTTTTTGTGTAAATAACAAAAAAAACTTTGAAATATTGAATATCGTATACGATATCAGACTTTTATTCTTTCTTAATTATTCGTAAAGTCGTAAAAATCAAGGTAGTGATAAAAAAAATGATACACTTTCTTTCTCTTTCAAAAAAGATGTCCGTTCAACAAAAGCATTCATTTACGCGCTTATACAATAAAAACTATTGTTTTATTTAGGATGCGTACTATATTTTCTCACATTAGTTAAGTTATTCCTTTCGTTGTTGTCTTATTCAATTTTCAACCCGTTCAATTGTACATAATTCACACGCATATCGAAAAAATCCGACACTAAAAATAATTATGTAAAAATCTCGTGTTTTACAAATAAAATAAATAAAATGGTATTTGCATTCTAAAAGTCCCAACCAAACAGCCATTGCACAACGTTTACATGAACACTTTTCATACAACTACGGAGAAACTTTTTTAATAAACTGATAACTCTAAATCATCAATCAATTTCTTGCAGTTTTTCGTTATATTAATTAATTCCCCTGTTGTTCTATCGCTATCGCGTGTATTAAAGAGTTGTGTGGCACATACACAACAAATCAATAGTTGCACCTTAATCTTCTCACTAATTGTTCCGCAACTAATAAAATTGGTTAAAGCGACAGTCAATCTATGATTTTAAAACAAGTGTTGTGTAATCCATGCGATGATTTGAAAGGGATTAGTCTGGAATATTTTCAACCGATTTTTTTTTAAGAAATTCATACAAACTTGGCGCAATCAATGTTGTAACCCCATTCTAACATTTGTATGTTGTAAATTCTTTTATTCGTGGGTTGTGGGGTTAAATAATCACAGTAATATCCTTCTCTCTCTTGAATCATACGATAGAATCGATACTTTTTTATTTGTCCACCAAGCCGCAGATTTTAGCATTTGCTGTGCATGTTTCTTTGGAAAAGTGCTACTTATTTGCATGAGATTTTGTGTGAGTCATCATTAATCAGCATACGATATTTTTCGAAATACACTGCGCGCATGTATCATACTTAGCACACACGCAATAATTACCTTAAATTCTCATGTCTTTCTTTTTAAATTACTATCCTCACCACTGTTCTTATAATAAGGAAAAGATTATCAAATATTTTTTTCTCGCAAATTCAAAAGTCCCATGACAATAATTACTTTTTCTATACACGCACGTATAATGAAAGATAAGTAAGCAACTCAATATCGATATAGAGAATTAATTAAGCATGTTGATATCAAGGGTCAAAATATTATGCTGACAAACATGTTAATTTGAACAAAAACTTGTTTAAGGAGAATGAATAAATAATTCAATTGACGCCGCGCCGCCGATTATTTTCACAATAAAGTTTATTGAAATGACGTTATTATTTATTAATCTATCAATAATTATTCTTTTAACCCCCCAAAAATAAAAGGTCATCTTGTTTCGTCTGCACCTATTGATTATCAACCATATTTACGGACACATTCAGTTTGGGGATAATTATAATGATAATATGGGTAGACTCGATGCTTCAGTGAAATCGTGTTTCTTTTCAATAGGAAAATGGTTTATATACTGAATAAGATTATTACCATTGATAGTTCTTTTCGAGATTGAGAAGAAAAAGTCAAAATTGAAGCTTGTAGGATATCCGGTTTCAATCATATGAAGAAACGAGTCTATATTGCCATTTAAATGATACGTATTTATGTGATTTGTATGACATTATTATTATTCTTATTTGAGCCCCTTTAATTCAACGTTTCGTCGACTGTTAAATATCCCGAGAATATTATGCGTCACACCGAATATCTTGGCATTGGTTACGTACACAAAAAAGATTCAAGATGAGTAACTTTTGTGAATGGGTAAATTATAAGATTATATGAAAAGTGGTTGTTTATTACAAATAAAGGAGCGATTCTTATTTATAAGCAATCATATAATTCGAAAAAAGGTTGCACGACCTAATAATAACTTTGAAAACAAGGTTAATTTTTTTGAGGCTTTGGTGTTATTATTTTTTTTTGTTACAATTTCTAACTTAAAAAAAATTGCCGATTTCCGCGCATATCGATCAAAATTTTTTTTGTTTATGTGTTTTGTGACGCAATCAATTTTAACTAATAGAATTTATAATTTCATAATTTGAACCAGATATATACATGTATATGTAAATTTTTATTCAATTTGAGCTCATAATATATGCGTATTGTGGCCAAATAGATACAAAATAGATAAATATTTATTTTTACAAATAAATCAATTTAAACTTTTATCTTAACTACGGCCATACACAGTGAAAAGCACCGGAACCCGTCCGATCTCCGAAGTTAAGCCACTGATGGCCCTGTCAGTACTGCGGTGGGGGACCACGCGGGAATACAGGGTGCTGTAGTTTTACAATTTTATGCACATGTATGTAATAAAGAGACTGGGTATGTAATAAAATTTTTGCTTATTGACTGTAAGCGAAATATGAAACAGCAGGGGGTTGTTATGTACATGTATAATAATGCACACGATGTTATAAATGAATCTATTAAATAAGTTACGTGCGTACATACAAAACCTTTTGTTTTTACAAATTCTTTAAAGACATAACACAAAAGAACTTTGTTTTTTTTAATGTGGTTAAATTATATATAATTCATCGTACGACCATAAATGGATCGCATGCGCATTAAATCATAAACACGAAAGCATTTCAATAAATGAATTCGCATTAATATACGTATCGAGTGAGAGAACTACGTGTTAATATTTCTTAGTGCGTAATGTTAAAGATCAGTTAATGATATCTTTGTAGTTCTTAACTTACCGAGAAATCAATATGACAAAGAATATATTTATATTAATCAATTAATCAGATGGATGTCGATTGACTTAAGGACTTGATACAAGTTATAAAAATAACGATTAAGATCAGTGGCAATTACTTGCAGAATGTTCGCATTACACGTTTTTGTTTATCGTTATGTATTATTTTCAACTTTGGTTGGGTGCGTGGTGGCACAATTACCTACAAATTCAAGTCTCATCGAAGCTCATCAATATTCTCCGATGGCAAGTTATTCTACAATTATTTCATCTAGTGGTGTCATTCGTTCGTCCATCACTACTAATAAACCGACTATCGGTGTCACGTCTTTTATACCTACCAGCAATATCAACATAAATTCATCTATTTCATATTCACATACACCGACTCCAACATCATCATATTCTTCGATACCATCGTCCTCGTTAACGCGAGCTCAACTGACTCAAATCCCCACAAATCTAATCAATCAAACGAGTATCATTTCCAGTTATGTGACAGCCAGTAAAACGGTGAATAGCAACCATAAAATTCGAATTAATTTGACGGGAACTAAGGAAATCATAACTCCAAATGCTGATTTATTTAATCGAGGAGAAAAAAACATTGACGAATCCTTATTTAATTGGTGGGGAATTTTAATTAATCTGAGTTTGCTGTGGTGGTGGTGGTGATGGTGGTGTGTGTTTACTGTATATTAACCTTCAGTAGTATGTATAATTATGTAAATAAAATTAAACTAGATTCGTGAATAAAATTTCAAAATAATCAGCTATGTTGGAAAATAATGAAATTAATCAAACTGATTTTGTTTCGAATTTTTCATTAAACAACTTTGTTTTGCTTTCAAATGTTTTATCAGTAAATCGTTGTCATGAACTACATATCTAGGAAAATAATCCTATAAAAGCAATTGTCAAATTCAGTGTTGCCCTAATAACTTCATTTTCTAAATTCTTTATAATTTTCATCTTAGTTAATTTTGAACATTAATTTATTTTTTTTTTCAATCATTTATTTTTAAGCAATAATAAACATTGTTATTTTTATTAATAATAAAGTGAAAATGACTCGATACTTTTTCCAACAACATTCTCGAGTTCCTTATCAATCCGGCAATGGTGTTGGCGCTGCTGGTCTTTTACGAAACAATTTTGCTCCTTGGAAACGAGAGCTTCAACAACTTGGAAGTTTACATTTGGATTACAAAGAGATTCAAAAATATCCTAATAAATTTCAATACACCAATAATAATAATAATGATGATGATAATAATAGTAGTATCGGTAGTAATAGTAATAATAAACATCATCATCATCAAGAGAACTTCGCAAAATATAATCAAATTAATGTTGATAGATTCCTTATTAACAACAAAAATGCGACAATCTTCCCCAATTTCTTCGAGAAGCCACAATACATTCAATTCCGAATTCAATCAATCACAATCGATGACGATTGCTTCGATAGGAAAACTGCCTTCAAAACTTCGTCACCATCTTTAGGAATGGGAAATTTACGTTATCATTATGTCAAAGGAAGCTTTGGTTTGTTTATTAATGAGAATACTGTGAAGATTCTGATTCCCGTCGAGGCGTTGGATGAGATTATAACAAGTGATTTGAATTCTTTCGTATTGAGTTTGAAAGATGATGGTGGCTCTCTTGTGAGTTTCGGTATCACCAAATTTTTTGGATCTGATAAATTTGCCACGATTCGAGTAATTCTCACACTTTCATTATATAAATATACTCTGCGATATTATTATAGATTAAATTCAAAATATCGGATGAAACGTTCACCAATAAAAAAATAGCCCAAAGCCTCGGTTAATATTTTCCTCGATTTACAATTATCAATTTTTTTGTTTGTCTAACATATTTGCTCATTTCATTAAGAAATTGCACAATCCATGAAAATTGTCGCGTGCAAAGATACACCATCACAGAAAATTGATATGACCATATTACACGTCGATCATGAAGTTAAGAGACGTAAATCGCTTGACAAAGAACAACAGCAGCTAAGAAATGACACCAATGCAACCAATAGAAATGGTAAAAACGAACTTGATGATGAAGACGAGGACGGAGGGGATCTTTTGGGCTCTAACGGAGAAGTGGCTTTCGCAGGATGGAGTTCTATTTTGGATCCAAGTCTTTTCAATAAAGTAAATGATTAATTTCTTTTTTTTACATTAAATCGATCGTTTCAAAGCACTGTTACATTTATTTTCCAAATAGAAATGTGATGACGAAGAAACCATAGAAAATAATAGAGAGATCTTTGATGAAGATGAAGTCAATGGAAAACCCAATACCGGAACTTTTATCGTAAAATTTCACGATTCCGAAGAAATCCGCGTTTTCCAATTTTTCAAGGAAGTCACTTTTGATGAAGTGAAGTCAGTTATTCAAAAAACTTGTGGTTTACAAGAGCTTCACAAGTTGAAATGCAAGGACGAAGTCGGCGAAATGATTACAATCACTAATCAATACGATTTTAACACTGCCGTTGCATTTTACGCGACAAACAATACACTGGAATTGTGGTTGACTCGATGAATTAAGAAATGAGACATAATACAAGATCATAATTTTTTTTTAATTTTTAATTTACAAACATTAAACATTTTTTTGTGAACATTTAACATTTTTAATGTATCATGTATAATTTCATAGTCTAATCTATAATAATAACCATTATCGTTTTATTTGCTGGTTTCTTTTTTTCAAAGAATTACTAATTATAGTACTCCTTTGAACCTTTCTTATGTTCGAAGCGCGAATATATAGTACCTGGAATCTAAAGTTTTTCATTGCAATTATTAATGGTCAGCTACATGTCTAATAAACCGTGTGCTATCTTTCACTACATAATTATTAATAGGTAGAGTTTTATGTATAAAATTCTTGTTATTATATACACTTAGAAACAATTCGAGTCGGAAGGTTCTTTATAATAAAAATTGGTTTTCGATTTTAAGAATCAAAAGGCAGCTATTAAAACGGAAGAGATACATTAAATTATATCTTCTATTAAATTTAGCACTATTTTTATAAATATTATCGTTCTACATGTATTACATACGTACTAACATTCAATCTTCATATTTCTTTTCAAAAGTATCTGGATTTAAAATAGCAAAAGTCAAAGCAGCCAACAAAACCAAAATCATAAATATAATTCCAATTTTCTCGCATCGCCTTTTCCAGATAAAATCCAATGGCGTTGCTCTTCTTCTCGGATATGGCAAATAAAATGCACCAATCCACCAGGATGGAAATATTAAAAAGCCCAAAAAGAATAACCATTTGCTGACTATTATTCGCTGACGATGCTGAGATGATGCATTAGGAAAGTTGCAGCATTCTTCCATCTCTTGAATTTCAAAGTAGCAGTCGACTGTATTCGAGTATGTAGGACGAGATTGTTCGAGCTGTTCTAAAATGGAGAATGGAGAAGGAATTGTGCTCTTTGTATTTTCGTTTAGATAGGGGTGATTTGGTTTTATTTCTTTTAGAGCCGCCAATCGATCAAATCCTAATGAGTTCAAGGAGTCTGTTGATGATAGTGGGGTGGAGGTAGCTGTTCCAGTAAAATATAATTTAGGAGGTGCCATTAAAAATTTTTCCCTGCTACCATACGAAGATAATAATGATGACGATGATGAATTCGATTCAGATTCTAGAGCAATTATGGTTGTAGTTGTTGATATACTTGACAAGGGAACATTAGTTTGTATCCGATCATCTTCCAATATTTTCTTTTTTTCCTTGGGAATGGTAAAAATTTATTGAAGTTCAAATTCTTCATTATAGTATTGCTATTATTGATTGTTTTATGTTCACTCACATTATCTTTGATTAAAAGGTGAGAAAAGCCACCAAAAGTTGAACATCGTGATTTGTTATTTGCCATTTGCATCTTTGATATGGGCCATTTATCTGATACATGTGCATTCCAGGCATTTTACTAATAATTTATAGAAACGAATAGAATATAAAAATATAAAATATACGAACCAGAAAATTGTAGGATTGAAAGTGATAAAATTTTTTGCTAATTTTCGCTACGAGTTCCGCTCTATTTATAATTTTTATTGATGGAAACTAAATGTTTATTTGGATTATTCTTCCGTGAAAAAGATTATTTTATTATAAATCTTTAAATGAATATGTACAGATTTTAAGTCAGATTTATTTGTTCGTCGGAATGCTAATTAATGGTGAGTTTGAATTTCAAGATAATATTGATTGGATCAAAGTATATGAATGAATAATATATGAGATATCAAAGAATAGAATATTATAAAGAGGAAATAAATAATTAATATAATATAAAATTTCGAATTAATCTATACCACATTGTTAAGAAACGCTATACTGATCAAATCTTTCGTGACTTAACTCTGACCTCAAAAATATTACTCGGCACAATAAAGTACAATCGAAAATTTTTTAGTTACCAATAGATTTCTGCATTTTTTAACAAGTTTGGCTTGTTTAAGTTTCAAATATCGTAATCTGGAACATTTAGAATCTTATGATCCTTTTTTAC